TTTTACATCTTCCAAATCTTCTCCGTCAATTGTGATTGGATTGGTGTATGCTGTGTTGTATCGGAGAATCTTGCTCTTCCCTTTGTGTATATTGCGACCTACTGCTACTGAGGGTGCTGCTACACTGGTTGTCTTCTCCTGCATTTGTTGTTGCGATTGCGATAGGAGGGCCAGATCATCTGCGAAGTCTAGATCGTCCAGCTGCATCCTAGATGTCCACTGTATCCCGCGTTTCCCTTCAGATGTTAACGTCTTCATGATCCAGTCGATCACTAGGAGACAGAGAAAGGATGAGAGTAAGCAACTTTGCCTGACACCGGTCTTTACTTTAGATTAGTTTGTCAACTGTACTTCATGCACAATTTCGCAGTGTGATCCATCATATGAACTCTGTATGATATTGACTATCTTCTGAGGTAATTAGAATCTCTTACCAATCTTCATTCATGGAAGTGTTTAACCACTTTAAAAAAACGCTGATAGGAGATTCTAACTGCCAAAAACATTTGAATATTCATATTGAACAGAAATTCGTTTTAATATTTAATAACGTGTTCTGAGAATCCTTTTTTATCGTAACGAGATTTATTGTGCTGAATAAAACCATTATTATTATTATTATTATTATTATTATTATTATTATTATTATTATTATTATTATTATTATTATTATTATTATTATTACCATGATGTTTATACAGCCAAGGATGCAAACGAATTGATTTTCTAATTGATAACTAAAGAACTAACTCATTCCTAATGCTAAAACTATTCCTAGTTTGACTACTAAATCAAAAACAATTGAAGATCATGTCATATTTCTATAACACACTCCATGTAATGATAAGTGAATACATTCACGAAAAACAATCTTAGATTCCCCTTTAAATTATTTTCAAGTTCATAGAAATTAAGATTTTATCAATAGAAAAGAAAGGATTTAATTTATATAGATGAAATGTGAAATCAAAGCAATCATCAGTTAAAAATAATAACATATTTATTATAATGTTGTATTCATATATAATCTTCACTATGTGAAATATCATAACCAATCATGTAGGTTTCTTTATGTACTTTTGTGTGTGTGTATGTGTGTGTATGTGTACACATATATATGCAATCAACAAACGTATTAACATGGTACCTTACTCCTTTTGAAGATATTTCTGTACACATTCTTGTATTACACTTGATTTGTATTAAACTATTCGATTATATTGAATATAGTTAATAATCTGACAATGATTAATTTTGTATGATAAACCAAATGAGTTTAATTTCTAAGGATCATTTCAATTGTCAATTGTTATACATATATATATATCAAAGAAATTGTTTTCAATTAAAATTGTAATAAATTTTAATGCATTAAAATTAATTATTAAGTAAAGTATAATTTATTTGTAGATAGTTCTATTTACAGATTTCCATAAGATGTGACACTTAGCAATTCCTTAGTCATCATTTTAGAACTCTTTAGTAATATGAATTTATGAGTTCATATGAGAGTGAACCAAGCACCTTTTATTCATACAGTCAATATGATATGATTTGAGGGATATAAAGATTTACTTACAAAAAGTCAGAAATATGTTATGTGGGTAATGTTAGAAAGCTTCACTTATCCTGACTTCCATGTTAGTTGATGTTAGTCATTATGGTCTATCTGAAATCTTGAAGGAATTAATGTCCTCTGGGAATCTCTATCCTTCATCATCTGGCTTCATAGTTTGAGACATTATTACTAAGTTATTAGGTCAGCTAGTTAGTCGTAAGCTAACAATATATCACCATGCTTATCCAATATTCTCAGTCGGTAACTACTATCTCACTTCAAATTTGATTGACTTAAAGATGACGACTTTTAACCTAGATAAATAGATGAATGTTTATTTCTTACAAATGAAATAATTGTCAACTGCCCCTAAGTATTTAATTATTTTTCAACAAATAACAGTTTTTATGAAGCAAATTGTCTTCGAAGTATTTATCTAAATGTGAATATATATATATATATATATATATATATATATATATATATATATATATATATATATATATATATATATATATATATATCAAAATTCACGTTTGCGAATTTGTACTATGCACATTTAGTTTTTGGTTGAGATCATGAACTGATTGAAGTTAGACCACCATTGAAAACCTGGAAGCACTTGGACGGCCGTTTCGTCCTACTATGAGACCCCTCAGCAGTGCTCATCCTCGATCCCGCTCACGGGTTTCGAACCCAGGGCCTTGAATATTGCGCGCGAAAGCTTAACCTCTAGACCAGTGAGTCGGCATCCAACGGCGTTAATGTCTAATCTCAACCAATCCACGGATGTGCACTGCTGAGAAGTCCCACAATAGGGTGAAACAGCCATTTGGTGCTTTCAGGTTTTCAATGGTGGTCTAACATCAATCAGTTCATGATCTCAATCAAAAACTTGATATAATCCACAACCCCTATACACTAACTATGCATTATAGACAAATGATAATCTTAACTACAAGTTTAACCAAATTTCACATAACATATTATATATCATTTCACTAAACCAGTTTTATACTCATTATCATATTAAATAAATACTATTGTAACATTATCAAATAAGTAGTATATATACACAATAAATCCTACTCTTTATATACTTCATTTATCCATGTAATAAATTTAAGATTAATCGGTAAAATTATGTTATCTATGATCTTTCTTTTCATAATTTAATAAATATAAATTGATCATTTTAAGTTGTTTGTTTGTTTATTTGTTTTATGTATCCTTTCAACTATTTATTTCTTGTATTTATTAAATGTTTCATATTATAATACATTGAACACTTTGATGATTATCTATTGACAAGGTGAAGTTCATCAGAACTTATTTATCCAATGTATCATCATGACAAGTTACGTTTATGTAAATATTCATCTTTTTGTTGCTGCTGTTGGTGGTGGTGGTGGCGGTGGCGGTGGCGTATCTTTATTGTTTTATCTTTTCTTAAGTTTAACAATTTCTTATTAGATTGTTTTTTTTTTAAAAAAAGAGATATTTAGATAATTTGCTAACTAGATTTTGTTTAAATCATTAATTCAAATCTATTTATACTACTCTTAGTTCTATTTAAATAGATATACCTACTTCGGTTTAGGCACCCGGGCAATATCACAGCACTCACACAAATTAAATGAGATTTTTTGTGGCGCATATTTATCTGGTGCCCCCTTGTACCAGTATTTATGTGTTCAAATACATAAATAAAAATAAAATTTAAATAAAGTGATATATTTTCTACCCTTAAATGCCCTGGTACAGCCAAGAATGGGGAGAGTTCGCCCCCTCTCTCGAAAAGCTCTCACATGGTCACGCGTATATAGCCTCTGCCAGGAAGTCCTACTCACTGCCTTCTCGTGGCGAGGGTGTTGTTTACGAAATTGAGAGGACGAAAAGCGAATGTCCGGTGCTTTAACCGGGTTGGTGGACATGGAGAGTCCACCCAGTGGAGTTAGAAAACCCTGATTCCAAACCAATGTTACACATGGGCTACATGGTCCTGAGGGAACAAATGGCATATGAACCAACTGTTGGTCACTTGCTACCATGGCACTGCATCCCCTTACGATGCCCCACTGCCTTGCAGATCAGACCTTTAGGTCGAAGGCTCCAGGTGTGGCCCTCTAAGAAAACCACCTGCTTCGGTTTGGGCACCCGAGCAATATCCCAGCCCTCACACAAATCAAATGAAATTCGTGTGCCACATATGTATTTGGTGCCTCCTTGTACCAATATCTATGTATTCAAATAATAATAATATTGATTTTCTATTCACTTTCTAGATCTTGTGTTTATTTATACTTGATCTCTGTGGAATAGATAGTAAAGTAAATTACCAACCAAATAGAGTTTGACACATTATTCGTTAATTTTCTAGAAGTTTTTATAGTGTATGCTAGTTGAATGGAATGTTCACACTCTTTTCTGGTTTCTAATAATATCATTTAGGAATTTTCACGGAATTCCAATAAAATATTGTATGAAAATAAAATAACGAAGCGAACGTGCTATAATCTGTATTTATCTTTTTATAGTGTATAATTCAATAATTGATTCATTAAAATACAATGTGTCTGGATTAATCACAGACTGTTATCACTAAGGATTCACCAAGATTTTGTGGTATTTGTGGTATCTAATTAATAGAATAATCTAATAAAGCAGTGTTGAAATTGTATCACCACTTATAAGGAAGAAGATAAGATTAATCGTCAATGATGTTTCTTATCTTCACGATTTCAGCTGAATAAACTACCCCACATATATTCTGGGTCACTTGACAACAAAAAAGTAGGAGTACTAACTCTGATTGATGTAGATTACTAAATGACTAAGCATTACTAGAATTAACAGATATCTATCAGTAAATTCACTTGCATTTCATCCCTCTCGTATTTGTTTCTTCAGATAATTGAAGAATTTTAATGACAGTTTATGGACAAACATCTTAATTGCATCACAGACTGTGTAAGTTAAGATATCAGAAGTTATTTCATTAAGTAAATACGTTCATAGTTTAAATTCCAAATTAATATTGACTAAACAACCACTAAGAACCAGGTAGCATTGAACATCTGTTTCATCCTAGTTTGGGACCCCTCAGCAGTGTGCATCCCCTACCATACTCGGTATTGAGCTCAAGACCTTCTGTCTCACAGTAAGCCCTCAACCAACTAGTTCAGTAGTTTAGAGGTTGAGAGCTCGACGTTAGACCTGAAGATCCCGGATTTCATCTCTTGTTAGTAGTTGACATGTACTGCTGAGTAACAGTTGTCTAGTACTTTCTAATTCTCGATAATTATCTAACTAAGATTAGTTCTTGATCAAAACTATGAATATTCACAAACTTTTTATACTAATAAGTAAGCATTGTTTTCAATAAAAATAATAGTAGTAATATTAATAATATTTATCTTTGTGTTCTTTTCTGTTTTACTAGGGAACCTAACAATCATGAATCTGCAGCTTTTATTGTCGCATATTTCTCTATTTTAAGTGGATTACCTGTAAAATTAACTCGTAAAGCTGTTATGAAATGTAGAGAAAAATTAGATATTACTAGTGAATATGATGTAAGCTAACATATTTCTAGAATTTCATACATTTATGACGTAACATTTATATATATTAAACAGTACTGTTAAATTTGTAGTGTTTTAAATATCTCTATGAGATGGTAGAGAAGATTTGTAGCTCAGGTGGATGATTTTGATGAAGTTTTGTTCTCTGTACTGGATGGTTTGGTTCATCCAGCTTAGAGAACAAAACTCCATCAAAATGTCTATGTATCTATTCTTGATTTGGAGTAACATAAAACATAATAAATCTATCAACATATGTAATTTTCAAAGAAATTCAATAAAGATAGAGGTTAATAAAAAGCTGATTAATAATTAGTCACTACAAATGATTGTTTAATATTAATTAACCTAAAGTTACAAATGAAAACTGATTGAATGGTTTACATTGATTAGTTCAAGAATAAAATAAATTATCCAATAGGATTATTATCCCTAAATATGGAGTGTTACAAATCAAAATTGGGAATAGAAAAAATGTTTTCGTCATTTCTATCATCTTCTTCAATCACTGAATATGCTGATGATCGATTAATCAATTACTTATCCTTAGTAAATTATGGTATTAAGGTAATACACTAGTATTGTATAAATAGCATAACTTCCTAATTGTAATTTACAGATAACTCCTGTGGAAAAAGAAATAGTCCCATGAATAGAACTTATGATAATTAACCCATTGTCTTTAGTGAATCAATTTACAGTGAATATACAATATTTCTGATAATTTCTTATCGAACAACGATGTGTTTTTTCAAAAATCACTTAAAAACTTGTGTTTTTTCACGATTCTGTATATGGGGTCTTTAACTTCAACCTTATGTTCGATCACAGTAACAAATTCTTAGCAGAAGATTTGGTGTATTGCAATAAAATAGCTAACTTTTTCAGTTTTTAATTTGTGAATACTTAAAAACAATATATATCAGAAGGTTTTTAGCAATGATTAACTACTATTTATGTTCAATTCGTAATTACTTATGGCGAATCTTGCTACTATGGAATATTTCCATAGGTGATTAATTAAATGTAAACATTCTGTAGGAATCCTCTCTTGTTCCTCCAAACAAAAAATAAAAAAGGAAAATAAATAAACCACTGAGGTGATACCTCTTGAGTTTTTTCCAGTAATTAGATTCGCGATAGGTTATAAACGTGTTATGACGCCAAATAACTATATATAGTTAGCAAACATACAGCTTTCAGGTGAAATATAATTAAAATTTGCTGAGAAAAGTCAGTAAATTTTAGATGGTGGTTGGAGGTAGTCAACAGGAAACCCTGGACCCGGGTTTCGTGCTACTTGGTACTCGTCAGCAAGGTGTACCTGTAATCTTGAGGGAACTGGTGCTCCCTGGCGGATTCGATCTCGTGTCACCCAGCTTCATAGTCAGAGACGTTACCCGGGTCCAGGGTTTTCTGTTGACTACCTCCAACCACCATCTAAAATCTTAATACATAGTGCCCGCAGTGTCGAGTCACCCAGACTGGTGGCCACATTGCAACATGATCGATAGCATTCGATCTGCACTAATAAGGACTAGACAAGCATGACATTGATCACCACCCAGTGATCAATCAATTGTGAAAGTCAGTAAATATAATGATGTGCTATGGATCGAATGAATGTTCAGTATTTGATGATAACTTACAGGAATATGTTATTATTTTAATTATATCCTCCCAATGATGTCAATAATAACAAAGATGAATTTAACTTGTAAGTAATTGTCAGCGTTTAGTTAATTCTCTAAAGATATACATATACCAAAAGAGATTGATTAATTACAGTGATTAATATCAACAGTAATGTGACTCAAACGCTTATAAATAATTTAACATGCGTTAAGCAAGTTTGTTGTAATCTGGACTTAGTTGCTCAGTAGATGATGAGTTGGCTTACGAAGTGACAGAAACTAGGTTTGAATCAGATCATCACGGATACATATACATCTATCTAACGAATCATAAATACGACAAAACGTCCTCCCTGGACTTCAATGCTAGATACTATACAACCTAACTTAAACTTGTGATTTAGTGGCATTTCAAGGCACTCACCCAAGATATACATCTTTCATTAGGAACGGATCAATTTCAGTCCTTATTAGTTAATAATATGGAAATACAAACCCTTACAGTTACTAAGTTCATTGTATCCTAGAATCCTTGCTAAAATAAATTGTTTTTAAGGTAATTCTTCAGTTAATGACTTATCATTGACTTACATAATGCGCAAATGAATTGGAATCGTTATATTACTGAAATTTTACATACTGTTGAGATTCCTTACTATCGGTTGTTTGAATATCCCGACTGATGTTTAGGACTGAAATTAATTAGTCTCTTTTTTTGGTATATATGAATACTGTGAGAATTGCCTCGATATTCCTATTGAATCATTAGCATTTATAAGCAAGTTGGATTTTAGTTAGCAGTGGAATCCAGGACACATTTTTCGTCCTATTAGTGACTTAATGGCTGTTTGAAACAGCCGTGCAGTGCTCCCAGGTTATCAATAGTTTTCTAACTTAGATTAATTCATAATTTCAATGAAGCTCAACAATCTTCACAACCGTATACTAACAAATTTGTCTTACTTCCTTTTTATTAATAGTCTTTAATTGAATCAATGCAAAATTCAACCACAGCAAAAGAATTACGTAATGATTTATTCAAAGGTACATCTGGTTATACAGAAGATAGATTAATTGAAGATTTACGAAAAATTTATCAATTAGCTGAATTAGATCCACCAACATCATCAGAAATTTATTTAGAAACACGACGTGAAAGTATAAAATTAGAATCAACAACACAAAATTCATCTAATCCAATTTTTAAACGTTTATCAATTGATAAAAATAAACAAGAATCACCTAATGAAATCAATATTAGTTCATCTAATCTACGTGATAAAACACCAGAAGTAATTGTAAATGAATATGATAATAATAATAATAATAATAATAATAATAATAATAACAATATTAAACAAGATCAATTGATGAATACTTCAATAAATTCTTCAATGATTACACCACATCATTTAACTGATCATAATAATTCTATATTAAATGATGCTAAACATGATCTACATCAAATTGATCAAGTTAATAATAATACAATTCAAAATGGTACTAAACAAACTTCATTTAATCATGATAAAGAGATTAAAACAAAATTACCAGATCCATTATATAATACTAATATAAATACTACCAATACAATAAATTCTCAATCATTCATTAATAATTATGAAATTAATCATTCTAATAGTATGAATAAATTAAAAACTACAAAAGTAACAATTAGTTATGCTTTATCACATGAATCAACAGAAGCTGATGCTGTTGAACAATATTTAAATAGTACTAGTGCAGATGAACGTGATAGATTACGTAAACGTGTAATAATTACACATGCTTATTCAAAAGTTGATAATTCAATGGATCTTATATAGATAGAAAATTGATCATTCAATTCATCAATTGAACATTTTAAAAAAACAACATACTACATATCATCCATCATACGTAATTTTTTTTCTTTTTTTAAAAAAAGTTCTCTTTTTTTCCCTTTTTTCTTTTTTTCTTTATAAACAAAAATAAACCCATATATATGATTAGTGTCGTTAATATTTATATTTATGATTAAAAAAAAATTATCTTCATTTCTTGTTATGAACTAATTCAGTTTCTATATCTTTTCATATTTATTCTTATTGTTACTATGACGATTATGATTAACGGCATGTTTCTTTTTTTTTCTCGAAAAAAAGAAGAAACAAGTATTTCTATCGATCAATACAAATTTGTTTTAATCGTTCAAATATTTTATGTTACACTTTTTTTTATAAAAAAAAAAAGAAAAAGCAAAGAAAACGCAACATCCATATTTGAAAAGTTTGTTTTTGTTAAAAATGATAATTATTACAACCAAAAAAAAGTGAAATTATTTTTCAAAGTTAACACTATGGTTACTTTTTTAAAAGGAAACCTTATGAATTACAGGAATATTTATTAAGCATAGATTGATGTTCCTTTTTTTCTCTCTCTCTCTCTCTCTCATGAAATAGTATATTATAGTGACTTGTTTTAATTCACTTACCTTATCTCTATGATTACGTAAGTATATTCATATTTCTTAAATAGGTATTAGATATTAAAGAAATGTAGAGACTTATTTGATCTTATCATAATTATAACATTTAAGATATCTAGATTTGATTGATGAATAACAACTAGAAGGAGCTAGAAAGGATTGCCCAGGACACGGTTAGATGTTGAATGCTGATGAGCAGCCTATGTTCCTTCACGAGGAGTAACAGGTGTAAGTAAATAAGATTTGATTGTGTTAGATGATTGATCAATAATTGACAATAAGCAATATGAATTAATGTTGTGCTATTTGATGTTTCAATAGTTGAAATTATGAGTTAATTGAAGCTAGACCACCATAAAAAACCTGAAAGCACTGGAAGGCTGTTTCGTCCTAGTATGGGACTTCTCAGCAGTACGTATCCACGATCCTGACCCCGCGAGATTCGAGCTCAGGACCTATCAGTCTCGCGCGTGAGTGCTTAACCACTAGACCACTGAGCTGGTCGGCATCTGATGGTGTTAGTGTCTAACTTCAACCAATCCATGGAATTGCGTCACCGTACACCATTGTCTTCAATGAGTTGATATCCCCTTCTAATATTTGATACTTATCATTGTTATAGTTATATCTTGCTTTTACTATTCTTCGAATTTTGTTGATCAAGTTTTAAAATGATCATTAATTTCGACGGTTCGATATCATTTGAAATAGGTTTTAGTCAGTAGAATTCTATCCATATTGACGAACGGAAAAATGCACAATAATTTGCTTTTCATTAGTCAGCAATCTATTCGATCATGTGAGCAGTCGATATTGGGATGAAATATACGTTTTTAACTTTAGAAATACACAAAAATTTCCGCAACTTCAGGAAAACTATTTGGTGTCAGCATAGTGGTTTATAAAGATTAATGGATGTTATTGGTATCACCAAAGTTTGATATTCATTGAATAGTTATTTTATCATAATATAGGATTCATCAAAAGCGCTCCCCACGGCCTCACTGGGAATTGAAGCCAGTTGCTCAACAACGACATGACATGGTCGTGAATTCATCGAAGTTACGTATTCTTATTTTCACATCACTGATTATTTATACATGAAACACAAGGAGTCACTACAATTCCTATGACGTGAAGTAAGAACACAAAAAATTTGTACAAGTAAACAGTTATTCACCTCGTAAACACCAAGGTGATCATAGTTGAAAATATACATTTATATATTGATTTGTCCACCCACCTAATTATTAATTAAGAGTTAGTCACATATACAAAATTACAATAAAATCTCATGTTGCATTTTATAATGAACATAATTCACATTAATTTAATACAAAGATTATTGTATCTATAATAAACATCAAACTCAAATAAGTTACTGTTATTGATGAGTAAAATAGCACACTGATATTAAAACAAATATTACACAGAGTAATCAATAAATTGAATTCAGAACTTAAGTAATGTTGAACCAAAAGTCATAATGAGTTTTAAAAATTGTTTGTTTGTTTTTGCATTTTCAACCCGTCATATCAGATATACATACTTTTGCATACCGCTCCAGTAGTCTAAAGGTTAAGAGTTTACCATAAGAAACCGAAGGCTTTGAGCTCGATCCCCAGTAGGTGCGCACATCAGGGGAGTTTCATGTCAGAAAGAAATAGCTCCCCAATATTCTCTGTTTTTCAATGGTTTTTTAAAAATTTAGTTCAGTTTCCGAAATCGATAACATTCAATTATTTGGTGTTTTTGAAAGTCACATCTCCTTCTATTTCTGAAACTCTTCAGTAATAACCAAGAAATGAATTCGATAAAATGTCATTTTAACATGAATCACGGTAAAATAAATAGGATAAAAAATAACTGTGAGATATTTCGAGCCTCTTTATAAATATCAACAGTGAGTTACAGGTAAATGTTCCAAATGGGACAAAATACACTTACTGAACTCTACTGTAAGTTACTATCAAAATTCTTGACTAAATGACCATATCAAGGCAATCCGCGTAAACCAAAGTTCTTAACACTAATTACGAGAAAATAAAAATCCTTAGAAATGAAGTAAAATGTTTATATTTTTACATTTATACAATAATTAAGGGTTAATTTAAATTTTTAATTAGGTTAGATATGTCACTTAGTTTTCATTTTATTCTTATCGTTAGCAAACATATTTTATTGGCTTAAGTAAGAATAATGAATGAAGCAGAATAACATGAATTCTTTATATTTCGCGGTTTCTTATTAGTTACTTACAACTTAAATATAAGTAGTATTAATCATTAAAAATCAGTGTACATACTTTATAATATAATTCATAACTCTTCTGTTATTATGTTGAAAAGTATGTACATTGATCTTTGTTAAGTTGTAAGCAGCTGATAAGAAACCACGAAATATAAAGAATACATGTTATCCCGCTTCAATAATTATTCTTGCTTTAGTAAAAATTATAAATGGGAAAATTTATATGACATTTTAAATTCACATGGTATCGTTTACTTGGATCTTTCCATTGATATTTAGGACTTCAATTGATCAGTCTCTTATTGATGTATGTGCATACTGTGCGTATTACCTTAATTCACATGCATTATAGCGGACTTCAACGCTTCAACCGATGGGAACGCAACGAGAAACAACGTTGTCAAAAAGACTTCCTCTATTTCTCTTACGTGAGAAACAATAGCGCTTGTACTAGGCACGTTACTATCCTCCATAATAATGATTAAAATGTACTTCGTCGACAAGTACTGATGTCTTATACCAATCCGACAAAACATAACTAACAAATTAAAAACCAACTTCAAAACTAGCCATTTCATTGGACGAAACGGAATGAAAAATATTACAATTTTGGGTTGAAAAAACATTTTTAAAAAGGGTGGGTGGGGGGTTTTTTAAAAAAATTGCCGTGGGGCTAATGAATTTCCCCGGCTTGAAATGGAGTTGGTTTCCCAGCCATCTTCCCTGCTCGTCATTTTGTTCTGTTCTATTACATTCACTTTACATACAAAATATATGTATTCAAAGCCCATTCTCGTTAATTGACTTATCTAAATTCCGTTATTGACTAACGTGATTTAAGTTGACGATGATATACGAGAAAAGGCGATAGCAAATATCCATTGATCTAAATTGGAATCAGATCCACGAGCCACTAAAATAGTGTGACAACAGGTGCATTAGTTTTTGATAAGCAATAATAATAAAGGTTCAAATCAATGTTACATAATCTGAAATAGGTCAATAATCTAAGGATCTAATCGAAAACAATATTGTTCACTTATATCTATGTTGTTCTAAAACCATATTTCACATTTCTTATTTATTTCAATTCACATATACCTTTTTTTATTTATTGTATCCATGAAAAAAAAATAGTGAAATGAAAACATAAAGTAACATTGAAATCTTGTTACAATTGATTGATTCATTGAATAAGGAATGTGTAAGTTACTAATTTGTGTTGTTAATATTATGAGTTGAATAAAATATGAAGTACATAGATCAACGTTATAACATTTTTTTCTCAAATATCGATGATTTATTTTCAGATTGGGGGGGGGGTTGTATAGAGATTTTAGTCATTTAATAGTTGAGTTCATGGGTTAGATTATAATCAAAGACCTGAAAGCATTGGATGGTTATTTTGTCCTAGTATGAGACTCTTCAGTAGTGCGTATTCATGATCTCACCAGTAAGATTCGAATTCAGGACTTATCGGTCTCATGTGCGAATGTTTAACTTCTAAGTTGTCCAGTGTTTCCAAGTTTTTCATTGTGGTCTAGTTCTAATTGACTCATGGTTTCAACTATGAAATTATTTATTTGACAAATAATTGTTTATTAAAACAAATTTTCCTAAGAGAAATGATATTATAAGAAGTAATAAGGAGATTTAGTATATTTGATAACTGTTTTGCTTTGTCTATGTGGTAGATATTCATAAATTTTATCAACGTTATTTGGTGAACAGATGAATAGAACTAAGTGTTTGAATTGATAATACGGATTGAATTTTGATCGATCTTTGTTAGTAGATGTGTATCTTGTATGAACTGTCTCGAAATAGCCATTACATACAAGCTATTTAGGACAGATGGATTGTGGATGAGAATGTAATCCACGATGTAAATTTCATTCTATTTAGGAATTCTTAACTAAATCCACTTATTCATAATGATATGAAAAGCATACACATTGGACAGGTTAGCAGTTATATGTACTCAATAAGTCAGTGGATACCATCAGAAACCAGGAATAAATATACACCTGTTTTGATCCCTTTTAATACATGAAAGATAACGAAACTCAATGGTTGTAGGTTCAATCCTCTTAAGAGTAGCTAATACAATTCTCTAGGGTCCCATAACAAGACGAAACAGCTATTCAGACATTTTTGTGTCAGTCAATTGTTTCTCTGTGCAAGAATCAATATCATATCAAGTCATGTAAGGTTAATTCGACCACGGTTAGCTATCAATTACTAGGACGCTTAGAAGCGATAAAACATTTTATAACATCAAATCACAAAATAGCCAGTTATAACAATAATTTATTTAACATAATCTGTCGATAAATCTATTATTTAGTGACTAGAACACAGATGAGGACTATAGAAATTAATTATAATTATCACTGAATTCTTCATTAAAAAATGTTACGTAACTTAAAACAACGTCGTCTAGCAACACTCCAAGTACTACTTAAATAAATGGAAACTTTCTTACATTCCCCACTTGATTATAGAGTCCTCTAATTATGCGTTCTTTTTATGGCGTTCACATCAGTGATCTTCTGTTCAACGATTAACACAATTACCGGAAATCTCAACGCCTACTATTATACAAGCTTCTTCTATCACAAGTGTGTGGTCAAGAGATGTAAATAGACTGTAAAGTTATTGTATGT